AAAATATCTTATCCTATAAAATAAGTTAACAGTGAATCTGAAGTTATTAAGTCTTCTCCAGAACATATTATATACTCAATATTATCAACTTTAAAAAATATTTCAGAAGTTGCCATCATTATCTCCCAAACTTCAATATCTCATTTGATCTTAAAGCACGTTATTAGATCATTTTACTATGGACAGAAACTCTTTCCCTCCTGTACTCAATTTTTGCAAAAGAAGTAACTGTCTATTTCCAAACAAATCTCTGTACTATTTCAGTTAACTGTTTTTGCCACACCTATGCAATTCCCAACAAGTTTTCAAAGTCTGCACAACACAAATAAACTACAATCTATACACTCCACCTCTTTTCTACTATAGTATTATTCCATAATGGAAGAGATGATCATCCAATTTCACAGATGAAAAACCAGAAATGATTCATATAACAGTAATTTAAAAACTGACATTATAGCAAACTGGAGTGTCTGAATTCCCTTAAGACGTAGGATGGAACCACATAATCACAAGATTATGTTTTTCATTTTCAATGCATCAACACCTTTAACAGTTGCACTCTTACATTATAACCATAATTTCTTGAATAAACCACAACTGGGTAGCCATATATATCATGGCCCAAACCCTTGGTTTCCATATAGAAAAAACTGAGTTTGCCCAATAGGTCAAACCAAAATGAAATATACATTATAGATTTAATACTAAATCTATTTCTTTAGTATTAAAGAAACCCAGTTACCAAAAGGTAAAATTCTCCTCTATGACCAGCACAGATATAAAAATAGTTTTAAGGGAAAGTAACTCTTCTTTTGATACTTCCTGAACTTTAATATATTTGTTTACATGGTACAAACTTGTATGGATTTTCAGAGAAGCATTTTTGCATTCCTTTTCCTCCATGTAACAAAAGCAGGATCTGGTCCATTCCTGGCTGAAATGACTTCATTCATCTCTTGACATTAATCATTTCTTTATTCACATGAAGGGTTTTAACAGTCACAGAACGCACACTTATATATTGCAATTTATTTTCAGGTAGATGCACTGGCCATGACTGTCTGTGTCCAGTTTTGCAACATTTATCACTCATACATTTCTCTGGGGGAAGATCTAGTCATTGCTACCTACTGTACTATGGTAACTACTCAGTAGAATTAAAGTTATGCACTCAACCATAAAAATGCCTCTGAAGACTATAAAAAGCTAGAAGCTTTCCAATATACAGTATTTGGATTCATGTCCAGAGTGGAGAAATAATGTAATATAACTACCTATAAAAAGCCAACATCATGCATATATGATTATAAAGTCACTTCATAAGAACATTTAAAGAATTTTTAAATCTAAGGCATCTGAAAATTGCTTTAACACGTTAACTTCTCCCCATATCCCAAAACTATATCCTAGAGATAAAACCTTATTCATTACTCCTTTAACTGCAGAAAAATAAATTCTGCCTACTGATTTTGATCAATACACCACTAAGCCATAAACTGTGTAACTATGATTTATATTTAGTTGGATTAAGATGATATAAAATGCCACAAGCAAACTGCATCATAGTATAGTGCAGTGTATGAACCTAGCTGAAAACTAGTTTGGTTGTAGTGGTTAAAGGCACCAGCATGGAAATTGAGAGTCTGTGAATTCCAGTCCTTAGATAATAGCCAACTGGATGGTTTTGGGCCAGTCACTCTCTCTCAGTCTGCAAATGGTGACAATGGCAACCACTTTTAAAAATGTTGCCAAGAAAACTGCATGGACGTTGCCACATAGTGGAAAAGATTAACTTAACTCACAAATGCAAAAAACCTAGCCAATAACTTTTGGAATTCTGTTCTTTCAAAAGTCTCTCTAATGTATTACTTTCTCTGAATTTTGACTGGGTACCAAATATTAATTGAATATTTTTATCTAAATAGACGATTTTACAATTTACTTTTAGTTTTATCCTCAGCTCCAGGTTGACTCAGCCTTCCATCCAAATTGGGCCCTTAGGATTGGGAAGAAGATATGATATTATGGCATTTACCACATAGTTTTTGTAGAAATGTGTATTCTCCTGGAGAATTGCTTCTATCAAAGAAATAATTGTAACAATACAGAGATTCGTAAGTCTTCCCACAGCAAATCAAGCATATGAGCTGCGGTAGTACAGTGGTTAGAATGCAGTACTGCAGGTGACTTCTGCTGACTGCCGGTTACAGTTCGGCAGTTCATTTCTCACCGGCTCAAGGTTGACTCAGCCTTCCATCCTTCCGAGGTCAATAAAATGAGGACCCAAATTGTTGGAGCAATATGCTGACTCTATAAATTGCTTAGAGAGGTTATAAAGCACTGTGAAGTGGTATATCAGTCTAAGTGCTATTGCTATTTTATTGATTCATTATTATTATTAACTTTACAAGATTATGTAGCATTAAAACAACTTTTCTATAACTATCCTTGTGGTTTACAATTGCAACCAATAAAATCTGTTATTTCACACATTCAATTACAGTAGCATGTTTCTGTATAACTGTCACACCAATTTGCAAAATTGACACCTCTACCAATGGTAGTTGTACATGTACATGCACTATGAGTAGCTCCCCTCCTTCTTACATATTTTATACATACTTCCCCTATTTATTACATTTGTTATTTTCTAAGAAACATCACCCATAATATATCTTCATTAATACTGCCATATTTTCCAAGTCAGCTATAAATTGTTTATTTAAAAAAAGTGTGCAAGCATAGTGGAAAAATGCTGATTTAAAAAAAGGGAACCAAACCTGCCTATACAGCAGAAGGAAAAAAAGTTCAAAGAGCAACTGGTCCACAAACTTGAGGAATCAGCTCTAGAAAATTAATAAAATTAGTTATTTTTTTATTTACATTAGATATAAATCTGCCTTTTCACTAGAATATCAAGGCAATTCACATAGTATTTCTCCTTCAATTTGTTTCCACATCCACAAACCTGTGAGATTCATTGGAATGAAACAGTGACTAGTCTACAATCTGGAAGTCAGTTTCCGTGGGAGAGGGAAAACCTGAATCTCAGTCTCTCCATTTTTAGACTAATGCCATAACCATCATATTTCTGTCTGTCTGGTGATTAAACATAGTTAATACCTATTGGGATTATTTTATCTAGATAGCCTGTATAAACCTGTTAACAACATTAATCCATGCTCCTGCTAGTCTCAACCTTACCACAGCTGATATCAAACTTAGTATTACTATTTAACACCTCAAGGACGCAGGAAGTGGTTGTTGTGGAGAAGAGAGAACAGTAATCCAAAAACTGTTTAGGTGACAGTTAAAGTAAGTGGTTGCATAGACATGAAGGAGGATCACAGGTGAAAAAAAGACCACTAAAGTTTAGAACAGTAAATGTTGAGGGGCTCTGAGAATGAGGGGGAAGCTATAAGCAGAAAAGGTAACAACTGGGACAAATCTTGCTTTGCAATGAAGACATCTAAGGGAGGGGAGAGGAACACCTTGTGGCTGAATTTATAACCTGGCCACTAAGTTAACTCGGTTTCTGAACAATAAATGGGTTGACTGATCAAGATCGAGGGAAGTACTAATACCACTCTACAAAGCCTTAGTAAGACCACACCTAGAGTACTGCATCCAGTTTTGGTCACCACATTATAAAAAAGATGTTGAGACTCTAGAAAAAGTACAGAGAAGAGCAACCAGGATGATTAGGGGACTGGAGGCTAAAACATATGAAGAATGGTTACAGGAACTGGGCATGGCTAGTCTAGTGAAGAGAAGGACCAAGGGAGACATGATAGCGGTCTTCCAATATTTGAGGGGCTGCCACAGGGAGGAAAGGGTCAAGCTATTTTCCAAAGCGCCTGTAGGCCAGACAAGGAATAATGGATGGAAACTGAACAAGGAGAGATTTAACCTGGAAATAAGGAGAAACTTTCTGACAATGAGAACAATCAACCAATGGAACAGAAGTTGCCCTCAGAAGTTGTGGGAGCACCAGCACTTGAGACTTTCAAGAAGAGACTGGACTGCCCTTTGTCAGAAATGGTGTAGGGTCTCCTGCTTGGGCGGTGGCGGGGGGGG